TTGAAAGAAAGAAATTTTTAATGTCTTTTTCCCAAAATTTAGATTGTCTGATGGCGTTCGGGTGAGGGTGTTACTACTTAAAAATTGAAATAAAATTCTCTATTCTTCAGGATTGTGTAGGGCTCAGTCCCTACTAGAACTCTGGAAATTTTCAGATGATTATAATTGTTAAATTTGAAAGAAATAAATTTTTAATATCATTTTTACCAAATTTTGATTGTCTGATGGCGTTCGGGTGGGGGTGCTACTACTTAAAAATTAAAATAAAATTCTCTATTCTTTAGGATTGTGTAGGGCTTAGTCCCTACTAGAACTCTGGAAATTTTCAGATGATTATAATTGTTAAATTTGAAAGAAATAAATTTTTAATATCGTTTTTACCAAATTTTGATTGTCTGATGGTGTTCGGGTGGGGGTGCTACTACTTAAAAATTAAAATAAAATTCTCTATTCTTCAGGATTGTGTAGGGCTTAGTCCCTACTAGAGCTGTGAAAATTTTCAGATGATTAAAATTGTTAAATTTAAAAGAAATAAATTTTTAATGTCTTTTTCCCAAAATTTTGATTGTCTGATGGCGTTCGGGTGGGGGTGCTACTACTTAAAAATTAAAATAAAATTCTCTATTCTTCAGGATTATGTAGAGCTTAGTCCCTACTAGAACTCTGGAAATTTTCAGATGATTAGAATTGTTAAATTTGTAAGAAATAAATTTTTAATATCATTTTTACCAAATTTTGATTGTCTGATGGTGTTCGGGTGGAGCTGCTACTACTTAAAAATTAAAATAAAATTCTCTATTCTTCAGAATTATGTAGGGCTTAGTCCCTACTAGAACTCTGGAAATTTTCAGATGATTAGAATTGTTAAATTTGAAAGAAATAAATTTTTAATGTCTTTTTCCCAAAATTTTGATTGTCTGATGGCGTTCGGGTGGGGGTGCTACTACTTAAAAATTAAAATAAAATTCTCTATTCTTCAGGATTATGTAGGGCTTAGTCCCTACTAGAACTCTGGAAATTTTCAGATGATTAGAATTGTTAAATTTGAAAGAAATAAATTTTTAATGTCTTTGTCCCAAAATTTTGATTGTCTGATGGTGTTCGGGTGGACCTGCTACTACTTAAAAATTAAAATAAAATTCTCTATTCTTCAGGATTGTGTAGGGCTCAGTCCCTACTAGAACTCTGGAAATTTTCAGATGATTATAATTGTTAAATTTGAAAGAAATAAATTTTTAATATCATTTTTACCAAATTTTGATTGTCTGATGGCGTTCGGGTGGGGGTGCTACTACTTAAAAATTAAAATAAAATTCTCTATTCTTCAGGATTGTGTAGGGCTTAGTCCCTACTAGAACTCTGGAAATTTTCAGATGATTATAATTGTTAAATTTGAAAGAAATAAATTTTTAATGTCTTTTTCCCAAAACTTTGATTGTCTGATGGCGTTCGGGTGGGGGTGCTACTACTTAAAAATTGAAATAAAATTGTCTATTATTCAGGATTGTGTAGGCCTCAGCCCCTACTAGAAGTCTAATAATTTTTAGATGATTAGACATATTAAATTTGTAAGAAATAAATTTTTAATATCATTTTTACCAAATTTTGATTGTCTGATGGTGTTCGGGTGGGGGTGCTACTACTTAAAAATTAAAATAAAATTCTCTATTCTTCAGGATTGTGTAGGGCTTAGTCCCTACTAGAACTCTGGAAATTTTTAGATGATTAGAATTGTTAAATTTGAAAGAAAGAAATTTTTAATGTCTTTTTCCCAAAATTTAGATTGTCTGATGGCGTTCGGGTGGGGGTGCTACTACTTAAAAATTAAAATAAAATTCTCTTTTCTTCAGGATTGTGTAGGGCTCAGTCCCTACTAGAACTCTGGAAATTTTCAGATGATTAAAATTGTTAAATTTGAAAGAAATAAATTTTTAATGTCTTTTTCCCAAAATTTTGATTGTCTGATGGCGTTCGGGTGGGGGTGCTACTACTTAAAAATTAAAATAAAATTCTCTATTCTTCAGGATTGTGTAGGGCTCAGTCCCTACTAGAACTCTGGAAATTTTCAGATGATTAGAATTGTTAAATTTGAAAGAAATAAATTTTTAATGTCTTTGTCCCAAAATTTTGATTGTCTGATGGCGTTCGGGTGAGGGTGTTACTACTTAAAAATTGAAATAAAATTCTCTATTCTTCAGGATTGTGTAGGGCTTAGTCCCTACTAGAAGTCTAATAATTTTTAGATGATTAGAATTATTAAATTTGTAAGAAATAAATTTTTAATATCATTTTTACCAAATTTTGATTGTCTGATGGCGTTCGGGTGGACCTGCTACTACTTGAAACTACTACTTTCACCCTAAGCGTCGACGCCAACTTCAGCGACCTAATAGTAATGATTATCATAACCACACAGTTTTTAAAAAATAAACTGAATTTTAACATTTTATGGTAATTTACTTTCACACGCGAATAAAATATATAAGTAAATATAATAAATAAAAGGAGATTTATCATTTTGATTTGTATGCGCTTTCCTTTGAATCGTGAATTTTTACACAAGCGCGGAAGTAATGCGAAAAAACATGAAAATATAATCTTCCATCTTGTATAGAGATTAAAAAGTCATGTAGCGTTTCTTAAAAAGCATAATGCAATAAATCAACCGGTGAATACAAAAAGAATCTTTTTTTTCGCCTCTTCAAGTTCCGAATTCACATTGAAAGGAGCATGCTGCGAGAGTACACCTTCTTTCTCTCTTTCTCGGTCATCACTCTTATTATTTCTCCTGCGTAAAATCTTGACCACACTCTATTTTCGAATCGTTGTCGCGCATAAGATCCTTCAAGGACGAAAGGCGGTTTATCGCGTATAAAATTTCATTTCCCGCTTCATTGGCAAATTACAGGAAGAGAGAAGAAAGCCCCTTGAACGAGTCACTGTACTTTGATATTATATTATATTCACCAACAATTTTATACATACAATTATATATATATATATATATATATATATAAAATATGTATATATAAATGATCTTTAAGGAACAGGACCAATCATATAAAATTATATATATGAAAACCTGTTTTTCATTACTTTTCCTTTCGATAGGAAATTCTCAATATAACAAGTTAATTAGTTGCTTTTAATTAATATTTTAATTTCTAACTAGAATCCTTAATTACTTTTGATTTATTTAAATGATTCTTGTACGCCTCTTAATAATTAATAAGATAATTATCAAGTGTCGGATATTGTGATTTTAAATGTGAATTATAATTTTACAAATAAAAGTGAACAAAGAACGTAATTAAGCAGAATAATGTTATTCTCAAAATAATAAATAATTTATAACGAAAAATTCCATTAATTAAGTAATAAAAATTTATTATATTATTACTATAAAAAGCTATGCTATTATTATCAAAGTAATCAAGCAAGAAATAAAATTTAATCAAAAAATAATTTAATAAAAATATGATTTATACTTTTATTCTCTTAATCTGCTCTCTGAATTTAAATTTCACTCTAAAATTTTAATAATTTAAATAAATTTAAATAAAAAAATAAAATTCACTGTAAAATTTCAAAATTAATTAAACAACTTATAAAAAAATGGTTATAAAACATGAAGAAATCGATCACTCCGAGTCTTCGACTCGGAGCAATCAATATCTTCATGTTTTATAATAACTAACTGATAAAATCATTATTTTATATTATAAGAATATTTTTACTGTAACTTATTTAAAATTACTTTCATTACTTTCATAACTTCAATTCAATTATTCTTTTCCAGAATTTTTAACTAAAATTCTTCTATAAATTAATTATTCATTCATTTTTAATAATTTTTGATAACTTTCTTTGAACATTTTCAAATTCTTTTGTTTGCAATTCAATTTTTACGAAATTCAATCGATTATTCGGAAATTCTTTGATCAAATATAATAGAAAATAAAAACTTAAAATAATTTCAAAAAAGTTCCATTAAACCTTTTCGAAAAATTAAATCTACATACAATTTTCATTTAAAAGTATGAAAATTTCAAACTTTCAAAGATTTAAATATTATTTAAAATTTTTAATGTAATTTATTCATTTTTAAATCAATTTTTATTAGAAAATCCTACGAGAATTCAATTATTTAAATTCAAAAATAAATAATTTATTAAACCATATACTGTTTCTCAGAATTGAATTCTCATAAAGAAATTTATCAACAAATTTTTAAATAATTAAAATTCTTTTGAAGAATTTTAATAACATTTTTAATAATAATTTTAATCCAATTTTTAAGAACAATTTTAATAAAATTTTTAAGAATAATTTTATTTGTCAAGAAGTTCGATTAAAATTGCATTAAAAATAATTGAATCTCTTTTAAAAATTTTATTTTTTATAAAAAAATAATTGAATTATTGCGAAGAAATTTTTAAAAAAAATTGTAAATAATTGAAATTCTGTGAAATTTTTATTATTTATGAAAATAGTTAAATGTTTTCGTAGAATTTTATTAAAATTTTTATTAAATAATTGAATTCTTCGCCTTTGGAAAATTTGATTAAAATAGTAAATATTAAAAATCATTGAATTGAGGAAAATTTTTGAAAATAATTGAAAGTTTGCCAAGAATTTTATTACAATTTTTGAAAATAATTGAATTTCTGACATCAATTGTAACTGCTCCAAAATTCAATTTCTTTTAGTGTTTTTAAGTAAAATTCTTCTATAAATTCATTATTTTAACAATCAATTAAGTATGTATTAAAAAAATTTATCTAATTGCAGTAGAATTTGAATTATTAAAATTTTCCAAAAACCTAAGTTCTTTAAGATTTTTAATTAAATTCATTGAAAATTGAAATATTACCAAATTTCAAATTAAAACCATTTGAAGTTAATTTATTTCTAGAAATTGTACCTTCTCTTCGGAGCGACAAACAATTAAAATAAAAAAAGGAAGAAAATAAGGAAAATAATGATAATTTTATTTTCAGCGGTCAGTGGGCGAAGGTATTTAAATGCAGAGCCCGATCATCTGGAATTTTATATGCAGCCAAATATTCGTCTAGGAACAGATTTAATGCAGATTGCAGTGCAGAATTAAGACATGAAATAGCATTATTATCACTATGCTCACAATCACCAAGAGTCGTTCGTCTACACGATGTCTACGAAACACCCAAGGAAATCATTTTAGTCATGGAATAGTAAGTTCATTATTGTTTACTATTTTTTTTAATAAAAATAAAAGATATAATTTAGAGTAAAATTTTCAAAACAACCAAAGAGGTTAGAAAACGTCCACAATTTCTCAACTATTCTTAGTCACTCTTTCTGAGTAAGAAAAAAATTATAAACAATAATTATTGTTTATAACAATGTACAGCAGTTGACATATTATTTCTTTCACTATTTAGTATTTTCTATGTCAAAATTTCGGTTTGTTGCACTTTTTTCCCAAAATTATCTAATTGTAAAATACTTTTACAAAATTTAATATATATTTTCTCTCCGTGTAATTAAAAAAAAGCGGATTATAAAAAGTCCATAATTTCTCAGTTAAAGTAAAACCATTTCTGACTAACAAGATCTACACTCATTTTTAATTACACTAAACTAACTTTTCCACCGCAATTGAAATTTTTTCCTCTTCCTTTCTCGAATACAAAAATTTCATACAAAAGGGAAATAAAATACATATTTTATTCAACGATCATGACCATGACCATGTGGAGAACACTTCTCTCGGTGGCAATAATTAAGGTTGACGCAACTATTTTCCTATACAGTGAATTAAAGCAACATAGTCATAGTCAAGGACGGAATTTTCTTTTCTTCCCACACACACACAAACATATACAATACGAAAACTGACAAAAAAACATTTCAAATAATTATTTCGAATCTTTCGACTCAAATAACTTTCAAGAAAATTTATAGTTATATACCAAGCATGTATAGCTCATACGAGAAAGGGAAAGTAAACAAAAAAAAAATAATTGAAAAACAACAACAAAGATAAATAAATTGAATTTAAAGTCTGGCATTCCCTGTTTATTTTCTCGATGTAGAGAAACATATACAAGAAAGGTTATTGGCAATATATAAAAAAAAAGGAAGGGAGGAGAACTGACCTAGCTTAATGGTGAAAAAAAAGAAATTTGCATTGAGAGAGAGAGACACCGCGGCGAGAAGTATAATACCAAAAGTGCAAGAGCCAAGCCCATTTGGAAATTGGCCATTTAATTTAACGACAACAATGACATGTCGGTGCAATAATAAATATACAAGTATATATGTATATATATATACAATTGCAATTGTTGATGGATTTTTTCTTTCCTTTTTTTTACCCAGCGCACCTGGCGGAGACCTGCAAACGCTGATAGACGGTGATTTGGTGCCCCTCGAAGGTGACGTGGTCCACTTTGTCAGACAGCTAGTGGAAGGACTTGCCTACCTCCACGAGAGAAATATCGCCCATTTGGACATCAAGGTAAGTTCGACCCATAAAAGGTCGTACAATACTCGCGTACATTTCGTCTGTGTTGGTTGACTCGACGTGTCTTTTTCAGTGTATATATACATGCACATATAAATGTTTATACGAGGGTCGTTGTAGGTAAAGCAAGAAAATTTTTTCAATTTAGCGCTGCAACTATTCAAAAGGCGAACTGTATCATTAAAAAAAATATTCTTTTCCTATTCTCTCTAATTTTTCAATTAATATCTAAATCTAAATCATTAAAAAAATATATTTCTTCTTTTCTCTCTAATTTTTGAATTAATATCTAAATCCTAGTATCCTACACCCAGAGAAAAATATTATTTAAACCAAATATATTTTATTTGAGTTAAATAAACGTATATTTTTCTCAGAACCAACTACTTTTTATTTCTTTTAAATAAAAATTCTATTCGACATAAATAAAACAATTTGAGCAAATTTTATTTGAACCAAATAGTATTTATTCGAAATAAACTAAAAGTCTAGATGGTTCTGAGACAAATACACAATTTCTCTGGGTGTAATATCCTAATGATCTAATTTTTGATTTATGATTCCTCTTGAAAAAAGAATCCGCAAAAATCGGAACCGAAGTTTATTCAATTCTTCCTATTTATCGTTCACTAATAAAAATTTATTTGATCCAAATAACCAATTACTTGTCTTCAGACAAGTAATTGATTATTTGAATCAAATAAATTTTTTTCAGTTTTGTTAAAACTAATAAATATTTATTTGTATCGAGTCATCTTTATTTAAATCAAATAAACTGCTATATCTGCATCAACAAGGTTGCCACAAACATTATTTTAATTTTATTTCCCCCAGCGACTTGAAAACAAAATTGTCACTAAAAAATGTAATTAAAATAAAAAAATTATATTTTCTTCTGTTTAGAATTTATAAGCATATTATTGATGTGTCGCCCATCCCTTAGTTAATAAAAAATTTTTAATTTGACCGTATATTAAAATTAAGATAAATATGCTTCCTATCGCTGAGTTTACATCAACCAGGTCCACCTGAGCGTGTTATGACGTGACTTCCAGGCCTAACTTTATCCGAAATTTAAAACATGTCCGAAGTTACAAAATCATCCAAAAGAATTAAATTTAATTTACCGTCAAAATTTGCGAAATCTATCCTAAAATTCCGCGAATAACTTTTCCCATCGCTGGGTGTACATCAGCCGGGTCCGCCTGAGCGTATTATTCTATGGTCGCCTGAATTAATTTTAATTTCACGAAGTCTATCTACGAATTAAGCAAAATACGCTGCCCATCGCTAGGTGTACATTAAACAGCTGGGTCCACCTGAGCGTATTATTCTATTGTCGCCTGAATTAATTTTAAATTCACGAAACCTATCTATAATTCACGCTAAATACGCTGCCCATCACTGGGTGTACATCAGCTGGGTCCACCTAAGCGTACTATTCTATTGTCTCATGAATAAATTTTAAATTTACAAACCTACTATAAATTACGCCAAATACGCTGCCCATCGCTGGGTGTACATTAAACAGCTGGGTCCACCTGAGCGTATTATTATGGTCGCCTGAAATAATTTTAATTTAACGAAATCTATCTATAAATTACGCCAAATACGCTTCCCATCGCTGGATGTACATTAAACAGCTGGGTCCACCTGAGCGCATTATTATGGTCGCCTGAATTAATTTTAATTTCACGAAACCTACTATAAATTACGCCAAATAAGCTGCCCATCGCTGGGTGTACATCAGCTGGGTCCACCTGAGCGTACTATTCTATTGTCTCCTGAATAAATTTTAAATTTACAAACCTACTATAAATTACGCCAAATTCGCTGCCCATCGCTGGGTGTACATCAGCTGGGTCCACCTGAGCGTATTGTTGCCTATTGTCGCCTGAATTAATTTTAAATTCACGAAACCTTTCTATAAATTACGCCAAATACGCTGCCCATCGCTGGGTGTACATTAAACAGCTGGGTCCACCTGAGCGTATTATGGTCGCCTGAAATAATTTTAATTTCACGAAACCTACTATAAATTACGCCAAATACGCTGCCCATCGCTGGGTGTACATCAGCTGGGTCCACCTAAGCGTACTATTCTATTGTCTCCTGAATAAATTTTAAATTTACAAACCTACGCCAAATACGCTGCCCATCGCTGGGTGTACATTAAACAGCTGGGTCCACCTAAGCGTATTATTCTATTGTCTTCTAAATACATTTTAATTTCACGAAACCTATCTATAAATTACGCCAAATACGCTTCCCTTCGCTGGGTGTACTTTAAACAGCTGGGTCCACCTGAGCGTATTATTCTTTGTCGTCTGAAATAATTTTAATTTAACGAAATCTATCTATAAATTACGCCAAATACGCTTCCCATCGCTGGGTGTACATTAAACAGCTGGGTCCACCTGAGCGTATTAATATGGTCGTCTGAAATAATTTTAATTTAACGAAATCTATCTATAAATTACGCCAAATACGCTTCCCATCGCTGGGTGTACATTAAACAGCTGGGTCCACCTGAGCGTATTATTCTTTGTCGTCTGAAATAATTTTAATTTAACGAAATCTATCTATAAATTACGCCAAATACGCTTCCATTAAACAGCTGGGTCCACCTGAGCGTATTAATATGGTCGCCTGAAATAATTTTAATTTAACGAAATCTATCTATAAATTACGCAAAATACGCTTCCCATCGCTGGGTGTACATTAAACAGCTGGGTCCACCTGAGCGCATTATTATGGTCGCCTGAATTAATTTTAATTTCACGAAACCTACTATAAATTACGCCAAATACACTGCCCATCGCTGGGTGTACATTAGCTGGGCCCACCTAAGCGTACTATTCTAATGTCTCCTGAATAAATTTAAATTTACAAACCTACTATAAATTACGCCAAATACGCTGCCCATCGCTGGGTGTACATCAGCTGGGTCCACCTGAGCGTATTGTCGCCTGAATTAATTTTAATTTCACGAAACCTACTATAAATTACGCCAAATACGCTGCCCATCGCTGGGTGTACATCAGCTGGGCCCACCTAAGCGTACTATTCTATTGTCTCCTGAATAAATTTTAAATTTACAAACCTACTATAAATTAGGCCAAATACGCTGCCCATCGCTGGGTGTACATCAGCTGGGTCCACCTGAGCGTATTGTTGCCTATTGTCGCCTGAATTAATTTTAAATTCACGAAACCTTTCTATAAATTACGCCAAATACGCTGCCCATCGCTGGGTGTACATTAAATAGCTGGGTCCACCTGAGCGTATTATGGTCGCCTGAATTAATTTTAATTTCACGAAACCTACTATAAATTACGCCAAACACGCTGCCCATCGCTGGGTGTACTTTAAACAGCTGTGTCCACCTGAGCGTATTATTATGGTCGCCTGAATTAATTTTAATTTCACGAAACCTATCTATAATTTACGCCAAATACGCTTCCCTTCGCTGGGTGTACTTTAAACAGCTGGGTCCACCTGAGCGTATTATTCTTTGTCGTCTGAAATAATTTTAATTTAACGAAATCTATCTATAAATTACGCCAAATACGCTTCCCATCGCTGGGTGTACTTTAAACAGCTGGGTCCACCTGAGCGTATTATTCTATTGTCTTCTAAATAAATTTTAATTTCACGAAACCTATCTTTAAATTACGCCAAATACGCTGCCCATCGCTGGGTGTACATCAGCTGGGCCCACCTAAGCGTACTATTCTATTGTCTCCTGAATAAATTTTAAATTTACAAACCTACTATAAATTACGCCAAATACGCTGCCCATCGCTGGGTGTACATCAGCTGGGTCCACCTGAGCGTATTGTTGCCTATTGTCGCCTGAATTAATTTTAAATTCACGAAACCTTTCTATAAATTACGCCAAATACGCTGCCCATCGCTGGGTGTACTTTAAACAGCTGGGTCCACCTGAGCGTATTATGGTCGCCTGAATTAATTTTAATTTCACGAAACCTACTATAAATTACGCCAAATACGCTGCCCATCGCTGAGTGTGCATCAGCAGGGTCCACCTAAGCGTACTATTCTATTGTCTCCTGAATAAATTTTAAATTTACAAACCTACGCCAAATACGCTGCCCATCGCTGGGTGTACTTTAAACAGCTGGGTCCACCTGAGCGTATTATTGAAGACTCGCCTAGCTCTATCTTTTTTTGCGTAATTTTAATTTAATTTGTAAAATTGATACGAAATAAATATATTTTAATTGAATATGCAAATTTTAACGGTATTAAATTTAATTCTATTAATTCGGATTTAAAAGAAAAATCATTTTGTGCTCCCCTAAATTTAATGTTGCTATTCATTTATAAAAATAATTTCAATCTTGACAATTTTTTAGACCTTTTGAATATAATTAAATTTCTGCAAATTAATTTTGAAGGTAAATTAAATTCTTGTAATAAATTTTGTTAATTATATAAAAATAATTGAATTTACAATGAATTCTATTAAAATTCCTTGAAAATAATTGAATTTCGTCCAAGAATTTATTTATTACTAAAAATATTACTATTTGACCGACTTTTTACTACAGAATTAGTTATTCTTTATTTTTATAATTAATTCATATTCATAGAGAACGTGTTTTTTAACGACAAAATTGTAATTTCAATTTAAATGTAACTTTTAATTGTTTAAATAGTAAAATTGTCACTGATCCAAATTATCAATCTCAATTTATTTGACCATAAATGATTATCATTTATGATTTTATGAGAGGAAAAATATTGGTAGTTAATAAAAGAAGCTCTAATGGAAATGATACCATAAAATTCCAAAAGCAAAGACAAAGAACCATAAAGATATTCAAATGACCAAATAATTGCAAATTTCATTTTAAAACAAATCTGTGTAATAAATTTTAATTCGTGATTATGTATTTCACTACTACAATTTATAGGAAATTACGCCCATAAAATGGCATTCTTAAAATAATTTTAATATTTTAATTAAA